GAAGCGAACTAGAACTGGTGTATAGTCCTTGTATATAATCTAGTCTATAGTCTAGACTATAATCTAATATATAGTCTGTCTATGGTGTGGTCTGTAGTCTAGTCTATATCTAGTCTATAGTCTAGTCTATGGTCTAGGTTTTCATGAGTTTGAAAACTTCTTTCTAAGTTTATGTTCATTACTTAAGGACACTAAAGAAATTGCTTTCAAAACTGCTGGGTTTTTTGCTAAAAATTAGGAATTGGCTATCAAAATTTTAAGATAAGAAAGTTTTGGAATAGCTAAAAGAAAGGGCTTTAAATGTGTGCGATTTTAGTTGCACTAAATTTTTATTACTTTTGTCATCCTTTTTTCCTATTTTCCTTTTAGATTCCTAAAAATAACATTAAAAATAGATTTGAAGCAAATAACATTTTTGTCTATTATCAGCAAAAGTAAATAAAATGTCAAAAGTTGGCAATTTTTTTTACTTTTTCGTTATACGTATTTTTGTAGTATTTTAGTGATAATAATTTGAAAAGTATTAAATAGTACATGGACAAGTAATAAAAAATATACAAACTCATCTCTGAATTTCAAATACAAACACGTATGAAATTATTTTTTTTTTATTTGGAGTACAAGGCAAAAAAAGTGAAAATCTATATTAAAATACAATTTTTTTCGTTTGATATTTGTTAGTTTTTTATTTCTGTGTCATTGCCAGTAAGTAAGTGCTGATAATGATACAACAAAGTTGCTGGAAAAAAATCAAATAAAATAGAAAAAAAAAAACTTTGAATATTTTTGTCTGCCAATAAACTGAAAAGAACTATTTATGCTGCGCTAACAGCAGTGTTGTATTTAATGGGAAGGATTTAAATATATATAAAAACGTGTTTTTTGTTAAATAATAAATTTTTTCTTGGATACTCGGAAAACCAATATATTTAATTTTATATTTCAGCTTATTAATAACAATTTTTTCAAATGTTTTCCTGAATTAATTTCAATTAAATATTAACATATTTATGACCTATTGTTGCTGTAAAATATTCGACAATTCCACAAATTGTTATGGACTCTTAAAAGGCTCTAAAAATTATAGAAACCATAAAATAAACTTTGAGAAAAAAATAGAAAATAAAAATGACAATAAAAGGCAACCGTGAACAACAGCATTTCAGGTTATAAATTGTTAAAAAATACCACAAAATAATATCACAAAATAAGACACATTTCACATATATGGATATTTTAGTTTAGGGTTTTTAATTTCCCGACATTTTAAACTACTGTTTATTTTGTATGAATATTTCCCAGTACATATAAAAAAATTCTAGATCAGTTCTAGTTCAGTTCTAGTTCAGTTCTAGTTCAGTTCTAGTTCAGTTCTAGTTCAGTTCTAGTTCAGTTCTAGTTCAGTTCTAGTTCAGTTCTAGTTCAGTTCTAGTTCAGTTCTAGTTCAGTTCTAGTTCAGTTCTAGTTCAGTTCTAGTTCAGTTATAGTTCAGTTCTAGTTCAGTCTAGTTCAGTTCTAGTTCAGTTCTAGTTCAGTTCTAGTTCAGTTCTAGTTTCAGTTCTAGTTCAGTTCTAGTTCAGTTCTAGTTCAGTTCTAGTTCAGTTCTAGTTCAGTTCTAGTTCAGTTCTAGTTCAGTTCTAGTTCAGTTCTAGTTCAGTTCTAGTTCAGTTCTAGTAGTTCTAGTTCAGTTCTAGTTCTAGTTCAGTTCTAGTTCAGTTCTAGTTCAGTTCTAGTTCAGTTCTAGTTCAGTTCTAGTTCAGTTCTAGTTCAGTTCTAGTTCAGTTCTAGTTCAGTTCTAGTTCAGTTCTAGTTCAGTTCTAGTTCAGTTCTAGTTCAGTTCTAGTTCAGTTCTAGTTCAGTTCTAGTTCAGTTCTAGTTCAGTTCTAGTTCGTTCTAGTTCAGTTCTAGTTCAGTTCTAGTTCAGTTCTGGACATTTCAACTACTGGTTATATTTACCGAATACGTCATTTCTATTAGAAGTAAGTTCATAAAAACTTTTCGAAATAGAAATTGAACGAAAAAATTTTCCCCGCCTTTCCCTTTACAAAAACCCTTTGTCATACATTTCAATTCAAAAAGTAATATTGTCAATTTTTTTGTATTTATAAATTTTATTTTTCTTGTAAATGGTTGCAAGTTAAAGTATAAAAACCAAATAAACAAATACCAATCAATGTATTTTGATTTTTTTTCGATAAATTTTTTTTATGTTTTCCTTTATTATAGTTGTTGCTATTTGATATTTTTACAATACACTCCTGTTTGTAGTCACGGAGATAAAATATCGGAATAAATTTTATTTTTATTCATTGATTGAGTTTTAAAGTTTCTTTATTTTTGTCATTTTTATTTTGTTGTTGTAGGTTTTTATATCAAAGTGTTGTTTTGTTTGCCAATACTCTGACAGTTTGTTATTGATGCTTAATGGAAAAGGTGGCGACTCGAAAATTACTAGAATAATAACTGGCATACATAGTATGAGTGAGTTAGTGAATATACAATGAGTTGTACAATGTAGTATAAAAGTCGGGGCACACTTTTAAATTTTATTAAATATTTAATGTAGCGAGTCCATGTCTAAGTCCATGCACTCTTACTCTTACTTTTTTCTGGGTAATTTAGAATCTATTGTAGTAGTTCCATTGTTTTTTATATTTTACTTCCTTTTCCCGTTTCACTATGTTCGACTTATCGAGTTTTAGCTATAAACTCTTTAACTAAACTTTATTTCTGCTCGTTACCTTTTGCCCAACATATTTTATGTTTTAGACATTTGTATAAAATTGCCAGTTATTCTATGAGATTCATTTAAGAATTTATAAATAAATATTTTTCCTAATAGATTTTATCCAATTTTATAAATAAAATTTCCTACACAGATTTTTATACCAACTTAGAATGAAATATTTATCAAAAAGGAAAAAAAAGAAAATTTCATTATAAAAACTTAAAAATATAAATACCAAAATTGAGAAAAAAAACTAAATCAAAACACATACAAACCAGTGCAAGCACACACACACACTTAAATATTCATATTCAATACATAAAAATAAAATTTTTCATAGGAATTTTATTTTGATTTAAAATTTTTTTCTTTCAATCTGTTCTTGTTGTGGTTCTAGACTAGAAACCGAATTTCAACATGTATTCATTCATATTATAGTCTATCGGTACTTCACTCCCTTTTTCATCAATTTGAATTTAAATTCAAAAGTATAAATGAATGAACAAGGAGTCAATGGTTGAGTACGTATAAGTATTTTTTCCTAAATCTGTATGCGTGTCAATTGTAACCCAGCAATGTTGCATGGTGTAAAGGTAACCTTTTTAATCAATATTCTCAACATACATATTTCTAATGTAGAGTAATTTCGCTACTTTCTACAAGAATTGCTTGTTTAAATCACTAGTCACATAGCTAATCCTAAGTAGTTAGTAAATACACTACTTGAAAACTAACACCGCGAAACTGCAATGTATTTTTCCTAAATTTGTCTATGTATTAATCGTATATTGTGAGTATTTAAGTGTTCGACTTTGTCTGTCTGCCGTCGTGCGTGTGCCATTGATGTTCATTGATTACTCGTTATCAATGAAAATCGTAAAAACTTAAGAGCAGATAAATAAATGTCAAACCATAAAAGTTTCAATAATGTGTTTTTTTTTCTCTCTCTCTATTCCCATTTTCAAATACATAATCTAAAATAGACATTTTATTTACGTTTTTATACACGCATTTGTATTAAAATGGTTCATTTGTTAAGTAATTTGAATGCTAGTTAAAAAATAGACCTAGACATGTCATAAGATGAGAATTTGAATATTTGAATTTTAAACTACTAAAAAGAAAATCATATGATAATATTATGGAATAAATTGTTTCCACTCCATTGAGTATGGGAAAATCAATTGAGAATAAATAAGAGTGTTTTTTTCCCAAAAAATCTTTTCTTAAAAATTTAAAATTTCATAAATTGTCTCCATCCATGATTTCAGCCGTTAACTGGCAAAACTGTAAAAACGCATTACATGTCGTTAAATGTTGTGTATAAAAGTTTTTTATTGTCTTAATTTCGAAATATTTTAACAATTTGTTGAAAATAACTGATTTTCTGAAAGAGGGGGGGTTATACGGGAGCAAGGATAAATATGGGCCTAATCATTATAAAAATGTTGGTAAAGGAATTCAAATTTAAATTAAAGTTATTTATGCAGAATTTAATCGCGATCCTTGTGTGAATTGTTGACCTTCAAGTCATTTTCTGGAGGGGACTTGGTATGAGGGATAGGGGTCAATAAAAAAAAAAAATCTATCTATCTATCTATCTATCTATCTATCTATCTCTATCTATCTATCTATCTATCTATCTATCTATCTATCTATCTATCTATCTATCTATCTATCTATCTATCTATCTATCTATCTATCTATCTATCTATCTATCTATCTATCTATCTATCTATCTATCTATCTATCTATCTATCTATATATTTATCTATCTGTCTATCTATCTATCTATCTATCTATCTATCTATCTATCTATCTATCTATCTATCTATCTATCTATCTATCTTATCTATCTATCTATCTATCTATCTATTCTATCTATCTATCTATCTATCTATCTATCTATCTAGCTATCTATCGACCTATCTATCTATCTATCTATCTATCTATCTATCTATCTATCTATCTATCTATCTTATCTATCTATCTATCTATCTATCTATCTATCTATCTATCTATCAGCCTACCTATATATCTATTTATCTATATTTTAGTCTCTGGTTTTTATAATTTTGTTGGCCTGGTTATCAGTGCTTGTTTTCAGCGGGTTGCCTTTTAAAAACTTTTACCTTGTGGGATTCTCAGCATGTTCAACTCTTTTAAATTATATTTACTGTTAATTTTTTATATGACACAAAACATTTACTGACATAAATTTGTTTAACAAATTGTTTATATGATTTTTTTTTTTCAATTTCTTTCATTGCAGATAACAAATTGCCAGCTTTAATTTCAAAGAGAGAAAAATAAATCCCCCTCGAGAAACAATTACACCTACATATCGTAACATACGGCAATATTAACAAAAAAAAAAAAACAAGGCAAAAATGAATAAATAAAAGATTATTAAATTGACAAAGTTAACTTGAGTAAAATAAATAAATAAAATGCAATTATAAAATTAATTGTGTGCAACACAGAACAAAAGACTGTTTGCTGCTACTTGCTGCTGCATGCAAAATGTGCCAATTAAAATAAAATTATTAAAATTAAAAAAGTGTTAAAAAAGTAAAGAATTAAACAAAAATATAAAATAACTTACTGAAAATGCCATTTGCTTTTGAATTTCATAACGGAAGTAGAGGAGAACCACAATAATGGTGTGGCAAGGCATTGCCATATTAAAAACGGCTGCAAATCATTTTACAACAAAGTGATGCTGCAACAAAATACCATGGCCATAAAACAAAATAAAATCACACAAAGTGTTGAATATATAAAAATTTGGAAACATATCAAGTGGCGAAAAACAATAAAAATTTAAAAGTTAAAATACACTGAAAGAAAAACTACTAAGTGAATGTTTAAATAAATATATATTTTTAATAAAGAAGAAAGCAAGCAAGCAACGCATGTATACAATAATTAAATGTTAAACATTTAGTTTTAATTAAATTAAATAAAAACAACATTTTAAAGAAATTCTAAATTTAACTAGATTTTGAAATTTAAGCATTTTTTTAAAGAATTGTTTTATAAGTGTAAAAAAACAAAGTGTGGAATTTTAATTGTACTTATTTTTTAATTTTAAACATTAATAACATTTTGTGGTTAACTTTAAATTACTTAATTTAAGCGTAGGTGCCATATTTTTCTAACATATCTCCAGCTGCCACAAGGTGTTTTCTGCTATTATCTAAAAGAAAAAACTAAATTCAAAATAAAATTTCAAGTTTTTAAAAATTTATAACAAATACAAATACGTGTGATAAGAAAATAGGCTAAACAACCACCGATTTTTAAACATCCCAGGATTTGCTGACATTTTAAAAGAAAAACTTTAAGAGCGAGAGCAAAACTATGACAATAGCAAAGAAAACGAATCTTTTGAATAAAACCATAGAAAGTGAAATTTTCATTAAACCCTTGAAAACCAAAAACAACAGCAACACTATGGCTCTTTTAACGAAAAGCCGCAGCAGCAGCAACAGCAATGACAATATTTTAGCCAATGGCTGGAGCTTGGGAAATGGCAACAGCAACAACAACTGCAATGACATCAATAATGATGATGATAATGATGGTATCTGGAAGTCTACAAAACTGCCCCTGGCAGCCTCTATAAAAAATCGCCACAAATATGACAAACTATTGCCAAATACCACAAAGTGTACAAGAGTAAATAAAACCAATGGAGCTCAAGATAATCATGATAATGATGATGATGTTGTTATTGCTCCTCGTAAAAATATGCAAAATGGTACAAATACTAATAATAGTAGTAGTAGTAGTCGTCATAGTAGTCATAACAATAGCAGTAGGAGTAGCAATAGGATTGGTGGTAGTGATGATGATGATGATGATAATGATGGAGGTTTAACTAACATGTCGTGGCCAACAGCAGAAGCTTTAGCAACAAAATTAACGCCATTAGCATCTTTAGCAACCACCGCAACATCATCAAATCCTGCAGCCGGCGTAGAGACAGCGGCACCACAAAAAGCCATAACAACAGAAAATGTTAAAAATGTCAAAATAAGCCGGCATATGAAACACAAACAGCCACATGAAGCAAATAATCCAACAGCAACACCACCAACAACTGCTACATCAACTACAGTAAGTAGCAGGAGCAGTACAGGGAATAATAGTGGCTGTCCAGCCACTAATAACCATCACAGCGCACAAAAACTGCTAAAACTCCCGCATAATAACAATAAAGTCAGTGGTAGCAGCAACAACAACAGCAGCAGCAGGAGCAACAATAATATACATTTTAATAATTGCAAATATTTGGGTAATGTATATAATGGCTCTAACCAAAGTTCAAGCAACAACACAATGCCAACTGCAACAACTACTACAACAGCGTCTACTATTACATCCTGCCACAATACTCCAGCCTATTCTACATTAACAACAGCATCACCCTCCAACTCCTCCCATAACTCTCTAGCATCCTCTACATCCTGCTCATCGTTAAATTCTACGGCAACAACAAGTTTATTGGCAACCACAGCAATGACTCAACAACAAAATTCAATAACATTTGGTGGCTTATTAAGGCAACAGCAGCAGCAACAACAACAGCCTCTATTAGCCACATCATCAACAAACGTATCGAGATCAATGGAATTGCCAACATTAGCAACAACAACAACAACGTCGGGTATGACAGGGGCAACAACTTTATCCTACAACCATAAAAGCAACTATGAAGCTGTCAACAATATACATAACGCAACTAATACAAATTCCAACAATTTGTATACAAACTCTAACCACCACCATCAGCAACAACAACAACAACTACAACCCTCTACACCGTCTGCCTCTTCCACCAACTCCTCCAACTCTTCATTGTATAATAATCAATATTTGCGTCAATCATTGCTGCCCCCCTCCTCCTCCTCCGCCAACACAACAACAACAGGCGCATCCTCTTCCTCAACGAGTCCTAACTGTAATTGTTGCAGTAATTTAATTGCTCGTTGCTGTTTTGGTTTGCCACATCTTAAAGCCATTAATGTGCGACGTTGCGTTTTGGCTTTATTTGCCATTACCGTTGTAACCATATTCTATTATACTCACTACATGGATACTGGTGTTTTTGTGGGGTAAGTAAATCTCATACATTGTCTATTTGTTTTGTTGTTGCACGTTATGTTAATAGGATAGTGGTAGCTATCTATATGCAGCTCCAACTCGTCTTTGCATTAATTTTATATAATAATTTTTGGCAATTTCACATTTAATTTTATGCATAATTAATATTTAATAATTTGTTTAAATGATACTAAGGTTGAAACTGAATCTATGAGGACCAAAACGATATTTTTAATTGGATATCATGTTTAAACCAATTTTGAACTAAAATCCTTAAACTTCGAAGCGATTTTTCCTAAACCGAAATATGTATAATGAGACTAGCCTAGTCTATAGTCTAGTCTATAGTCTAGTCTATAGTCTAGTCTATAGTCTAGTCTATAGTAGTCTATAGTCTAGTCTATAGTCTAGTCTATAGTCTAGTCTATAGTCTAGTCTATAGTCTAGTCTATAGTCTAGTCTATAGTCTAGTCTATAGTCTAGTCTATAGTCTAGTCTATAGTCTAGTCTATAGTCTAGTCTATAGTCTAGTCTATAGTCTAGTCTATAGTCTAGTCTATAGTCTAGTCTATAGTCTAGTCTATAGTCTAGTCTATAGTCTAGTCTATAGTCTAGTCTATAGTCTAGTCTATAGTCTAGTCTATAGTCTAGTCTATAGTCTAGTCTATAGTCTAGTCTATAGTCTAGTCTATAGTCTAGTCTATAGTCTAGTCTATAGTCTAGTCTATAGTCTAGTCTATAGTCTAGTCTATAGTCTAGTCTATAGTCTAGTCTATAGTCTAGTCTATAGTCTAGTCTATAGTCTAGTCTATAGTCTAGTCTATAGTCTAGTCTATAGTCTAGTCTATAGTCTAGTCTATAGTCTAGTCTAGTCTATAGTCTAGTCTATAGTCTAGTCTATAGTCTAGTCTATAGTCTAGTCTAGTCTATAGTCTAGTCTATAGTCTAGTCTATAGTCTAGTCTATAGTCTAGTCTATAGTCTAGTCTATAGTCTAGTCTATAGTCTAGTCTAGTCTATAGTCTAGTCTATAGTCTAGTCTATAGTCTAGTCTATAGTCTAGTCTATAGTCTAGTCTATAGTCTAGTCTATAGTCTAGTCTATAGTCTAGTCTATAGTCTAGTCTATAGTCTAGTCTATAGTCTAGTCTATAGTCTAGTCTATAGTCTAGTCTATAGTCTAGTCTATAGTCTAGTCTATAGTCTAGTCTATAGTCTAGTCTATAGTCTAGTCTATAGTCTAGTCTATAGTCTAGTCTATAGTCTAGTCTATAGTCTAGTCTATAGTCTAGTCTATAGTCTAGTCTATAGTCTAGTCTATAGTCTAGTCTATAGTCTAGTCTATAGTCTAGTCTATAGTCTAGTCTATAGTCTAGTCTATAGTCTAGTCTATAGTCTAGTCTATAGTCTAGTCTATAGTCTAGTCTATAGTCTAGTCTATAGTCTAGTCTATAGTCTAGTCTATAGTCTAGTCTATAGTCTAGTCTATAGTCTAGTCTATAGTCTAGTCTATAGTCTAGTCTATAGTCTAGTCTATAGTCTAGTCTATAGTCTAGTCTATAGTCTAGTCTATAGTCTAGTCTATAGTCTAGTCTATAGTCTAGTCTATAGTCTAGTCTATAGTCTAGTCTATAGTCTAGTCTATAGTCTAGTCTATAGTCTAGTCTATAGTCTAGTCTATAGTCTAGTCTATAGTCTAGTCTATAGTCTAGTCTATAGTCTAGTCTATAGTAGTATAGTCTAGTCTATAGTCTAGTCTATAGTCTAGTCTATAGTCTAGTCTATAGTCTAGTCTATAGTCTAGTCTATAGTCTAATCTATAGTCTAGTCTATAGTCTAGTCTATAGTCTAGTCTATAGTCTAGTCTATAGTCTAGTCTATAGTCTAGTCTATAGTCTAGTCTATAGTCTAGTCTATAGTCTAGTCTATAGTCTAGTCTATAGTCTAGTCTATAGTCTAGTCTATAGTCTTTATAGTCTCTTACTTGTTTATAATGCTAAAAAAATATCTGCGTCAGTAAATGTTAATCCATTTGCTTATGTTGGAAGTGTTTTAATGTTTGTTTTTTTTTTTTAATTAAATAAAAAATAATAATTAATTAATTGTTTGCTAAAAAAAAGAAACACTAGCTGGCTGTTACAATTTATTCCATTAATTAAATTGATTTACAGGACAAATAAATGTACTTATATATTATTAATGAAGTGTTAATTAATTAAATAGAAATAATGTTAAAAAAAAAATATATATATAACATTATGATGTATAGAGTTAACATAAATCCCAAAAAAAAAATACTAAAAGGTAACCTAGTTTGTTACATGCTATATTTTTGGGTTATTCTTTAAACATCAATTGTTTATAATCTGACATGCAAATAACTATCATAAGTAGCAAACTTAGAATCCTTTAAAAATTCTAATACAAATATCTTTTTCCTTGCAAAAACCCCTCATTCAATAAACAATACTTATCCCCCCAAAAAAATACTTACAAACTCTTAAGTATTTACTTTTACTTTAGCACACAAATAAAGCTGATCACAATTTGTTTGTATTAAGATCTCATTCACAAAGGAAATAATACCTTCTTCTTTGCCCACTCTAAAAAAACAAAGTTCAAATTTTTTAATATTTTTATTTGTGTTAAGGAAACCTAAAAGAAAAGAAGACAACTCCCATTTAATATTGGTTGTGGTACCTGTTTTAGTAGTTTCGCTTTAGCCAAAATAAAAAGGAATTATAATAAAAGTTATCAAAAAAGTTTTTCTACATTCTTTTTTCTTTTAAACCAAATTTTTTCTAGTTTTACAAAATGCTGTTTACAGAGCAATGAAAAAATAAAGTTTTTTTTTGTATTTGTGCCCCTACCTGGTGCCTTAAAATCATTGCGGTATAGCGGAGAGGGAGAGAGAAAAAAGTAAAAACTAAAATAGAAAAAATCATAAATTCATTCAAAGAAGCCCTTTGGCAAAACTTTTTTCCCATGCAAATAGATGCATGAAGTCCAAAGTGAAGTTGATTGTTGGTTGCAAATACAGGAGGGGAATTTTGAAATTATAATATATATTTGTACTGAGTATTAATTTTCTTCAGGAGATTATTATGCAAGGAGCAAAATACAGAAATCGCTCTGTTTGGAAACGATTTTATGTAAGATCTGTGGTTAACAATTGGTTTTCTTAGTTTGCAAGATAACTCTGGTAGAAGATAACTACGATACAAAATTCACTGAACATGCGCCATTTTGAAAGTTTTTCTAGATCTCGTAATCTGAGAGAGTATGAGAGAACAACAACATCTGTTAAATCTGTGATGAATCGAATTGTCGGAGGAAAATATATTCCCAATACTTTTTCCGGTATTTTTGGTAATACATGGATTCCGACACAAAAGAATTGCACACATTTGGAGGACAAGAATGAATCAAACCATCGGGAAGAACAAGAGTCTAATACTTTCGAAGGAAGTAAGACTTCAATTAGAAAAGCAGATGGTAAAGTTTAACTCTACGGAGTCCCAAATAACAAAATCGAATATCAAGATTAATGTTTTTAAACATTGTAAACTCTTTTATTAAAGTAAATTTTCCCTTTATGGCAGCAATAAAATTTTAATCGAACATTATTTTTTTAACACACACACTATTTAGTCCTTAATCTGGATTAGCACTGGAACGAATGCAAACTACTAAAATTTAAAATTACATAGTTTTCTTTTACAACGCAAAGTCTCACACACAAACACTTTATTTAGTCGTAAATTTAAAAATACATTTGCAAAGTTATGGCATCTTAAATATCAGTTAAAAAAAATCTTAAGGGAAAAATTAGTTTTTTGTGAAATATACATATGTACTATTCTCAGGGATATAAAGATTCTAATACATTTAACTAGATAGATAACACTAAGTATGTATACAATACTATAGTACATACTAAATAGTACAACACTGTAGTAGATTTTTAACATTGATAGTTATGTATATAGTAGATATACACCGAATATACAAGAATATTTCTTATAATTACCCACCAAAAACAAATTAAAAGATAGATAGATAGATAGATAGATAGATAGATAGATAGATATATATTATATATTTATATATAGATTATAGATATATAGATAGATAGATAGATAGATAGATAGATAGATAGATAGATAGATAGATAGATAGATAGATAGATAGATAGATAGATAGATAGATAGATAGATAGATAGATAGATAGATAGATAGATAGAGATAGATAGATAGATAGATAGATAGATAGATAGATAGATAGATAGATAGATAGATAGATAGATAGATAGATAGATAGATAGATAGATAGATAGAGATAGATAGATAGATAGATAGATAGATAGATAGATAGATAGATAGATAGATAGATAGATAGATAGATAGATCGATAGATAGATAGATAGATAGATAGATAGATAGATAGATAGATAGATAGATAGATAGATAGATAGATAGATAGATAGATAGATAGATAGGCAGTTAGATAGTTAGTTAGTTAGTTAGTTAGTTAGTTAGTTAGTTAGTTAGTTAGTTAGTTAGTTAGTAGTTAGTTAGTTACTTAGTTAGTTAGTAGTTAGTTAGTTAGTTAGTTAGTTAGTTAGTAGTTAGTTAGTTAGTTAGTTAGTTAGTTAGTTAGTTAGTTAGTTAGTTAGTTAGTTAGTTAGTTAGTTAGTAGTTAGTTAGTTAGTTAGTTAGTTAGTTAGTTAGTTAGTTAGTTAGTAGTTAGTAGTTAGTTAGTTAGTTAGTTAGTTAGTTAGTTGTTAGTTAGTTAGTTAGTAGTTAGTTAGTTAGTTAGTTAGTTAGTAGTTAGTTAGTAGTTAGTTAGTTAGTTAGTTAGTTAGTTAGTTAGTTAGTTAGTAGTTAGTAGTTAGTTAGTTAGTTAGTTAGTTAGTTAGTTAGTTAGTTAGTTAGTTAGTAGTTAGTTAGTTAGTTAGTTAGTTAGTTAGTTAGTTAGTTAGTTAGTTAGTTAGTTAGTTAGAGAAAATCCAT